GGTTCCAGAGAGTTTCAGCTACTGAAATAAGCTCCATGTGGGGAGCCGGAAAGCACAAATTGTGACTCTCTTGCCTGATGCTCACAGGCCTCCAGCTCGGAGCTCCCTGCAGGGCTCAAGGTATTCCAGCAGAATTTCCAAAGAGGTTTTCAGAACGGGGGGCAAATAATGCTGCTGTTTGTGTTCACTGCACAAGTCCTAACAGCTGTTCTGCCCCTGTAGTGGTATCTGCAAAACGGTGGTGCTTAAAGAGTTCAGTACTTGTTGGGTGAGATTTACATGATCCATTTCTGGCTGTGCAGCTCATCAGTGAATTTCACATTTTATACCCCAAAGATGTAGAGTCTGATGGTTATTCTTCTGCAATTCGCAGTCATCTGGTAGCTTCTGCTTTGGAGTAGCTGTACAGGTCTGTACCACCCTCTCAATTTCAAAGCTCTGAATTCCATCAGTACTACATGGAAACTTAACAGCAATGTGATTTTCAACACAACTCAATGCTATAAAAAAATTATAAAGAACCATAAAGCAAGTTACCTTTTCCACGCAATAACAAATAACTCTATCAAAAAGTTATCACAGCAGCATCTTCTCTTTGCGGTTCAAGTGCAGCTATGATCCGTTTCTCCTCACTGTCCCCTGCTTTCTGCTGCAGGTAGGAAGAAACACTCAGCAAATGCTCATCATAGCAATTGGAATAGGAATTGGACAACTGTTCCACAGGACCCCAAAGCACACTGAGAGTGGACCCCCAAGCTCCCCAGCTACACACTACTAAGGGTTTCAGATTAACTGGTAGGACTTGTAGCAAGAGTGTCTGTTGGGAGCTCATATAAACTAGAATTGACTGAAGAGAGCAACTCCAAAATTTATCACAGAATGGTGATGAATCAGATATACAACACAGCCATTAGGTAGACAAGTGTAATCCTTTAAATTTAAGGGATCGCTTTTTTTTTTTCCACATAAGACAGGGAACCATCTGCATTGAAATACCTGGTGCCTTAGCACTGAGCCATTATTGGAATATCTGATTGTTTCTGGACACCCCTATTCAAGGATAATTCAAACTAGAATAAATGCAAGCAAATACAAGTAGGATGATCAGAAATAAAGACCTTTGCTTTCGAGAGGAGACTAACATTTAATTTTGTCTAGCAAAGAAGAAGGTTTAAGTCTCTATAAGCTTAACTAGAAAAATAAACTGAGCTGGAACACTTTATTTATGCTGAAGAACAATACTGACATGACAGATGTATAGAATTATAATTACATTGGCACAGACATTATAGTCAGCTTTGCTACCGAACAGTTCTGAAACTGCCTTCCAACAGTGGAAGTCAGGGCCAACTCCCAAATATTCTTAAAATGGACCTTTGCAAGTAGTTCAGGCAGTTACATCTCATAAACCCTAAAAGGGGATTAGCGTCATGACTCAGACCCATGATCCTGTATTTGGCTTAGCGCCATGACAACATTCTCTAAATTTCTCAGACAATATTCATGCTTCAACAGCACATCAACCCAGATGCTCCTCTATTTGTCCAAAACAACTGAGGACACCAATTTTCAACAAAACCCTTGCATGTGCCCATTTCAGGAATGCAGAATTTTCCCCTCAGGGATGAGCTGAGGCTTTGATTTTAAGTCCTGCTTTTCACAGTGATAGAGGCAGCCTGTTACACACACAAAAGGCTGCACTGCCCCACATTCACAATCCTCTGCAAAAGCCAATGATTTATTTTGCTAACACACGCTCTTCATGCTCAGGTTAAGCTCTTGTTGAGCTGCAACTATAACAGCACAGGAGAAAACCCTGATTTTGGAGAGGAACACTGCAGCAAGAGACTCCTACGGGAAGTCCTCACAAGAGAGAGTCTGTAAGCCAATCAACCAAATTATCTGCAGGACTAAATGTGAGGATTATTCTGCAGTTTTCTTTTTTTGGAAAGCTTTCTAAGTCTTGTTCTTTAAACCAGTCGAACCACACCTGAAGTCCCAATGCAAGCACCTGATCTGGTCATATCTGAAATATGTCTCATTTAAAGAAACTCCACCGCTATCGCCATTTCACCACCACACTGCTACAGAGGGAGATGCAACAGATTATTTTTGTCCCCTCATAAACACATTGCACTACTCAAAGGTTTTCATCTTTCAATTTAATTTAAGAAAAATGTCTCAAAGTGATTAAGCAAGTCTGACTTCCAGCCTCTTTCATGGCACAAGCTAGTGCAGTGAACTGTAGAAAGCGAGCTCAGTTAGAATTTTATTTTAATTAAAAAAAAAAAAAAGAGAAAACTCTCAAGATGTGAGGTCCTATTAAAAAAATGGCTGTTCATTTGTAAACAGAATAAAAGTATTAAGAACACAAAGTTTCATACAGCTCAAACAAAACCACTTTTCTTAAGCAGTACAAGTAATTTTACAACACCATGAGAAGAAGGAGAAAACAAAAAAAATGGCAGAAGAATCACATAGCATTGCTTCCTAAAATGATAAATTATTTACAATGAATATTAATAGCTTGACATTTTATTGCTCCAATGGTAGTGTGCTGACAAGTTAATGTAGTAAACTGGGACAATAATAAACATGGATTTATGGTTTTGCATATGGAATTTTGTATCTATCAAGGAAAGTATAGAAACTTTTCATATTTATCAAGACCTCACCAGATGTAGCAAAAATGGTTTCTGTTTTAAAGTCACCCATCTACAACTGAATCCACACTTCCCAGACTCGTCGGTGCATGTCGTGGAGCACTTTTTTTCTCCTCCTACAGTAAAACAACCTCACAGATGCAGGTGGGGAAATCAGTAGGTGAGAGCTTTGATGCTCTGCCAGTATTCTTTAATACTTCGATATTCCTTAGATACAAAAACTTACTAGATACAAACCAAAGTATTTCCTAGATAAAAACTAGGAAGGAAAGTTAGTGTCAACATGTTTATACAAAAAATTAAACAATGACCTGGTAGACAGTAACTGCTTTTAAAAATCTGCTGCAAACTCTCACTCCTGAGGGTTTTTAGTTCCCTTTTCTCCTCACTCTGCACAAAGTTTTCTCTTTTGCTGTAACCAGTCAAGGCACTTTCTTTACCACTTCCACTACACTTTGCTAGCATTAATCTCTGTTATATTGCTACAAATCTGTTCTCCAATCAACAAGTATCCTCCATAAATAGGTTTACCAATCCATGCTGACTTCTTGTTGTCAAAAATGAGATTTCCAGTCTCATGAGATATAATTACCCCTGAATGGTTTTATATTAAAGCAAAGGATAGCCTAGGCAAAAAAGAACCTGTAGGAAGAAGTGCACAGAGTTCACAGCAGTGCTAGAGCTGCCTTCATCTTTAAATGACCTACGGAACCTGTCTTTCAGATGCAAATATAATACTGGTGCTGGTTTTGCATGTTAATGCAAATTCATCTACTTATTAAACATGGAGCTTACTGTAAATGGCAGTTTTGGCTCTCATATTCTTTACTAGTTGCTTTATGGCCACATATTTAAATGCCTATTAAAACACAAAAAGAAGAGACTCTTTCATGGTTTGAAGACTATACAATTAATAATTAAGGACAAAATGAAATGTATAGAATTTGCATACTTAAAATGTAAACTTGAAAAATGAATATTCTGCGCTGCAGTGCCCGCGGTGCCTGGGGCAGACCCAGAGGCAATCTGCTGTGGGTAAAGCCGCTGGCAGCACTGGATGTGGCCAGGCCCATGGGAACGGGACAAAGGGATGAGGGCGGGAAAGCAAAGCCGAGATCTTGTCACATCTCTGGTCACATCCCAGGACAGGGTGGCCAGGGAGCAGCCCGGAGGGACTGGGGGCTCCTGGTGTTTGCTCAGGCACAGCACTTCACAGAAACCAGACAAATCGGGCGGAGAAATTCTGAACTGAATACAATGAGCTCAGCCCAGACCGAAGAGAGTTGCTGTCAGCAGCAACACCAAAGGCCGCTCAGCACTCACCACTGGCCATTACTACAACTCTCATTCAGCTTGCCTGCTCTCTCAGTTAGAGAAGAACATTTTCAAAATAAGAGTCAAAATAACAACCTGCTGAGATTTCTTGAGTTTCTTATGCAAAAAATAAAAATAAAAAAAGAAAAAATTACTAACAGAGTTCTGGTAAACGGTAAGAAACTTCCATTGTTCTGGTAATTAAGCTAAGCTCCCTTCATTTATAAGGGAAATACATAGAATTGGGTGTGCTACTTCAGTTTTGGTTTACACTGCATTTTTCTGCCATTAAGTGTCTGCTCTGCTTACAGTTAACATCCTAAAAAAAAAAAATACATTGGAGAGAGCACTTTGCTTGGTTCTGTGATAGAAATCTGAGTTGCAAAGTGTAGCTAACATTAAATTCAGACAACACAGTAGTTTTTTTACTCATTGTTACAAAAGCAATTACACAGTCAGTTGTCACCAACCTACCAGTCAAATGGAACCTCTGCACTACGAATACAGATTTCAGACTCTGAAGCATAAGTGAGTGACTGGAAATTACTGCAAGCACCAGAGTCTGACACTCAGCTATGCAGTAAAAACAGCACAAAATCTGAACTGAAGTAACAGCTTGCATAAAACTGGCCTTCTGTAAACACTGTACAAGAAATCTGGCCTACTACAGTTATTATCATCCAATGGTCTTACAAATACTGTATTTTAATAGAATATTGCATACTGAAGAGATGCAAATACATTCAGAGAAAATCCCAAGTCACTCTGAAACTAAAAAGCAACTTGGGATGATGTCGCAAGGACTCAAGTTGCTGCAAAGAAATGCCCAGACACTTCCAATGATTCACAGCTTGCAGACACTCGGTCATCTGCTGGTTTTTCTCTGATTTCTTATTTCTAGTTAGGAAAGGGAGGCATTTTGCATCAATTTTTATTTGCTTACTATTATCTGGTGGTCTTGCTTAGGACAGCCATTACAGGAAGTTTTTCTACAGTTACTTCCCTTCCTGAGATGAGCCAAACTCCATGAGACATCTGTGGCTCTTCAGACTGTGCCTGAATGCCAAAACATATGTGTGAACCCTTTCAACTGATCCATTTCCTCCCATCACCATATTTTAAAACACTACTCTGATTTAGATAGAATTTTTTACCACCAGAAAGGATGCCGTGTCACTTTACTGTTAAAATGTTGAAGGACTATCACACCACAAAAATAACTGAAGTGTCACTTCAGCTTTGGTTTGGCTGTTCCAAATTTTTCTCCTTAGTAATGAAGGTCTCCAATTACGAAACATTTTTTCCATACTTAAAAAAACAAAACAAAACTTGACACGCATGTATTTCTAATTCAAAAAGAGGCTTTAGGATATTTTGTAATAGCAGCCGCCATCCAAGCCACAAATGCAACTTTTTCAAAAGTAAGCAGTATTTAAGCTTCCTATTTCAGGTGCTCCAACCACCACCTGAAATACTTTTTAAAAAAAAGACAGAAATGCTATGCATTTTTCATCCATTTACTAAACAAAGTGCAACTGAGCCCTACACATCTGATAGTATGTACAAACTCATTATGGCTTTACCATAAAAACAGCATGTGAATGGGTGTATACAATCAGAGGGATACTAGCAAACGTCATGAATAAACCGATGTTGGACTGTTGGCAATAGAATAAGAGCTATATTACAGTCTGTAAACCTTGGCATACCATGCTTTACATTATGCAAAGAGTCAATATTTACAAGTCCATAGTGGGTAAAATAATTAACCCCCAAATGTAAATGATGATTTTGCAAAGTGCAGGACAAAACCAGTGCTGTTGATTGCAAGTCCTATGCAAGCACGTTTTACTAAAATCATTACTACTAGACGCTTACCTGGACATTTCTACTGAGGGTTTATAGCATTGTGACGTTTAGAATGAAATACAGTATGACATGGCATTAGGATGCATGTTTGAGGACAACAAATATAGAAATGAGTAAGGCAGCATGCTCAGAACAAGTTTAAGCAGCACTGATGTTAGATCCCTAGTGGCAACTATACCAGTTAATGTTAAAAATTCAGAGTGCAACATAGAAGCCTCATTTAACATAAAAAAAAATGTGCAAATTGTTCTCTTCTTAAAAGAAAGTAACAGAGCAAGGAAGATATTCTACTGAAGAACGGTTTTAAGTCACAGCAAAGTAGACCATCTTCTTTCCAAAATCATCTACAAGGCACTAAGGGTAGAAAATTACAGGTAACACGAAAGACCAAATGCTGTTCCTCAGTCAGGTCGAAATATGGGATATTTTGGTAAGAACTCTATTAATATTACCTGTTAAAGAAGGGAAAAAGAGAAGAACATAACACAGTAACCAGAAAGTTCAAACCTTCAGCACAATTTCCATGCAACATTCGCTAATAGATAAGACTACACATATCTGAGATATTCTGCAATGTTTCCCAGAGTAACAGAGCAGGGGTTTCATTCATTCTGAAATACAGGGTTTCTGGATGCTTGACCTTTTTTGGGGCGACTCTTTTCTTCAAGCCTACACAATCTTGACAGCTATACATGAAAGTGGATGAAGGAGTAGTGGGACTGCAGAGTATGACGGTGGTGGAGTCACCATCCCTGGATGTATTTAAAAAGCAGGTAGATGAGGAACTTAAGGATATGGTTTAGGGGGTAGACAGGAACGGTTGGACATGATGATCTCAGAGGGCTTTTCCAACCGAGCAATTCTGTGATTTAAAATTCTGCTTTTCTCACTGGACTGTCTGTCTTGGTTAAAACTTTATGAAATTCAGAACTAGCAAAAAAGAAAAAAAAATCCAGGCAGAAAACACACTACTCTAAAAATGCAAGATTTCGGCAAAAGGAATGTGAATAAAAATAATTATTAATACCATTGGAAAAGGTGGATAAGCATTAAAGAACTACGGCCTGGTGTGGAAATCACACCAATGCACAAAGTTCCAGTGCGTCTCCCTCACTACAAGTAACAGACCAAAACAAGTGTACCTGCAGTGCCAATGTAGGATTGTTATGAAGAGAAAACATATTTAGTGGTGACACTTTCTAAGTCTCAATCTATGCCATGGCTGCTCTTGGTAAAAGTGGCCTTCATGGGTGTACGTCAAACACAACTGCACGTTTTCTTTTTTCTTTTCTTCGTGTTTTTTGGATAGGTGACAGTCTAGTGAGTTAAAGAGTTTCTCTATAAAATCATACTTTGAATACCAAGTAAGTAACCAAAAGAATACTTACATACTCCATCATATTGCTAGTTTCACATTTCCTTTTACTCAGCTTCCAGTGCAAACCGAGCTATGAAAATAATTATCAAAGGATTAACGCATACCACAGCACTGTTTCGATGAGTAACGTAACAGCAACATCAAATTATTAGGATCTGGAACACTTCAGACACAGGTTTTAAGATCAGTATAAAGTATGGAATTATTACAAGACTGTAAAATTCCTACATGCCAATTATGCAATAAAACCTTACTATTCTTAAAGCTGAAGAAAACAAGCACTCTAACTTTTCTTACCTTATGATATAGTCTGTTATTTTCCCATTCTAATAACTTCTGAATTGATCTTCTAGTCTAAAAAGTAAGTCAAAACTGCATTATAAATGGTTCAGTAGCCAGCTTCATCCAGAAGAATCTTACCATTGCATTTCTGGCTTAAGATTAATTTAAAATAAGTTAGCTTTATAAAAGTAGAACCAAGCAAAAGAAAATTTTTAAATGGAAGTCCTACCACTTCAACTCCCCACTCCTCAACAGCAAATCTTCTTAAGAAAAAGAAAACACCCATGGCGTTTTTTTCTGAATTAACACCACAGAATTCCAGCTCACAACAAATGGTGCCTGTATTTTCATCTCTTGGATACCAAAGGACATATGACCTTCATGTTCTGCTCTTTCCACAACTGTAGGAGAGGAGATGATCTTTAAGAGTTTCAGTGATTTTTTAAGGCCATGAAAAGACCACTGCGATGATCTACTCTAGTTTCTGCATGCTATGCCACAGAATTCCAAAATTTCTTTGCTAAAGCTAATAATGGCAGGTGAGCTATACCATCTCATTAAAAATTAACTAATCTATCCAACTCTGAGTCAAACACTTAATGGTGGAGAATCCACCACTTCTTTTTAAGTTTTACCAGTGCTGAAGCTATCCGTGGAGTAAAAAGTACATGTTGCCTGTTTCAACCGTCTTAGTTTCATGTTCCAGCTCTTGGATCTCCTAATGCCTTTGTTGTGAGATGAGTGGATGGCGACTGGCTGGGCTGGAGTTAATTTTCTTCACAGCAGCTTGCACAGTGCTGTGTTTTACATCTATGACTAAAGTAGCGTCAATGTTTTAGCTATTGCTGAACAGCACTGACCAAACGGATAACCCACACCACGAAACGTCATGCTCAGCAATAGGACTGGGGGCTTTTCTTTCCAAAGCAGCCCATTGCCCAGAGCCAAGCTGCACATTGCTCTGCTAGGGTGAGGTGGTGAGTGATTTGCCTTTGCAACACTTGAGGTTTTCTCCCCTTTTTCTCCTTCACTCACTCAACTGCTTAAACACACAAGGTTGGGGTTTGTTTTCTTTTTATACTTTTGCTCTTTTGATTCTCTCACCCATCCTGGTTTGGGATGGGGGAGTAAGCAACTGGCTGGTGGGTGCTTATTTGCTGGCTGGGGTCAACCCACCACAAGAGCAAATTAAGAACTACCTCATAATTGTGATTGCTAGAGGGATCAAATCACTCTAATATATACATGCAAACACATCCACAGAGGTAACGTGATTTTCCCTACTCCTACTTGGTACATATTGTTTGTCGCTTTGACAATTACATTAATGCTGCAACATCACATGGGAATTATTCGGATTTTCACTAGCACAACCATATTAAATATGTTTTTAAAACTGCAGATATTCCAACTGTGTATCTCAAGCATATTCCTCTGCAATAACAATGTTTATAAAGGCAGTCAATGCAACTTATTTTCTTGAGCAAGTTGGAAAGTTTGGCAAAACACTTCTGGTTTATTTTCTCTGAAAAGAAATGCATCTTCCTTGGTTTTGCTTTCAGTGTGTTTTATTAAATATCATGAACTCTCAAAAGCCAGAAATACTACTTTTTAACAGATTTTTACTTAAGATCTTTTCCTATAATTAAATGGACAAGTGTGAGAGGTTTTCTTCCCCTAGTGCACCTATGTGCTATCTACATTAGTGCATCGTAAGATTTTATGGCTAAAAAATTTTTAAATTATGTAGCCACAAAGAATATCACTACACTGTATCTGTTTATGTACTTCCTAAACATTTACTGTTGTGATAAATCAATTCTAAATGCACACCATAGAGGTAATTAGGATCATGTTTACCTGATATTGCTAAAGTGCTTTTCAGAAGTATTACTTTGGACCTGATTACAAGAATTGTTAATGTTCTCTTGAAAATAAATGAAGGGAAGTCTTTAAACTTCCCAAACAAAAAAGCCCCAACAAATCTGTGTTTCTTCTTGCTAGAAACAGCACAGTAAAATATGGCAAGTAAATCTCAGCTCAGAAATGTTATGGTAAATATTACATACAAAAAGTTATTATTGATTTAAAGAAATATTTATTCTGGGGTGGGGTAGAGGGGTGTGATGGAGTAAAGTAATTTTAACTCCATTTCAGACAGTCTTTGAAGGTCAACGTCCCATGAGTTCTGCACTCATTTAATTCACTTACCAGACGTTTAGAAATCCTGTAAATCTAGATTATCATATCCATCCTGTTTGAACCGAGATGGGATTAGCTATTCCTAAAACTATTCAATTGCTAATTTGGTATCATTTACTTCATTAAGAAACATTTTTTTATTTTCTAAGGAATGGAAAACAGAATAATGGGGGGAAATAGGGATGATACTACTAAACATTATTTAATATTATCAGTCATTGCAAGCTAAATAGAGTAAGAATGCAACCTGTACTTACTCTTTTGTTAAGACAGACAACAGGCCACAGGCTACAGCCCAGTGTGCAGCAGCAGCACAGACAGCCACAAAGCAGCCATTTCACATTGACGGGGAGGTTTTTCCTTAAACAGGCATTCACGCGGCTGATGCTGGTCTTGAATTCTTCTGGGGCAACCTGCAACACAAGCACTGAGCTTCAGCAGAAAGCCATTACAGGTGGATTTTCTCAGTAATTGCCTTGACAGATTAAAATTGATAATGGTATTATTATGTTTCATATACAAGGTGACTAAAATAGTGGTCACCCAGTGAGCATGAAAAGTCACTTTCCTTTAACAAATTCATTATGGTGCATGCTTTGCAAAAATTTGCATTAAAACAGTAAACACTGCTTAGATGAGCAGCCTCATCCTTGTTTACTGCACCATTAATAATTCAATTGTCTTGATAACATAGCGTCCCCAAACAAAAGCAGAAGTGGGACACTGCTGTACAACACACACACTGGCTACGTTGACCAAAAAAATGGCAGAATGACAGATATCTGGTTTCCAAGGGAATGTGGAGCAGCTTCGTAGTAAAAACATTTACACATCACATAGAAAAAAGTGTAATATTGTCCAAATTAATTTCATAGCAATGCAAGTCTACACTGTGCCCAGGTGAAGGTGAACCTCTATCCACAAATAAATTCCTAACATGGTCCATAAAACCATGAGGCCACAACTTCACTTGTGGTTGCTTCCTAAAATAGGAAATGCATCTTGTACAGATCTTTATTCATCTTTATGAATAAAGCCTAGCTGTTGATAAACAACTTATTTAAATTAAGGAATCTTCAGCAGAGCTTACTCAAATAATATTTTCTGTATATTGCCGTTGCAGTTACAGTGGAGAACCACATTTTCTATCAGAAATAAGATTCTCTGATAGTAGCAAGTTTCTTACAAAAAAGCAAGAGCACTTACCTATTTATATACCCCACATTCCTCATCTCTCTACAGAATCTAAATAACTTATCTCTGACAAGTCAAATACGGATTCGTGGTACTGAGTTTGAGATGTTACAGCTAAGAGTGCCAAAATCCAGCATTCGAACCCACAAAGGAGAATAACCAGACCCAACTCCAATAGACTTGCCTAGTCAGGCACAACTCAAAAAAACCTTAAAAATCTTTCCTAACTACTTGCCATGTTAAAGAAAAAATCCCTAGAACTATGACAAAATTCTTCCAACCAAGCAAACCCAACGCTGTTCATTTGATTCTGCAAACAAGGGCGGCCACTACAACAAAAGCGTTAATTTAATGACAAAGGCTCCTTTCAGCAAAGGAGCAAAACTATGAAACAGGAAATGGAGAGGACCTGATTCTGCTACCTCCGCCTATTCACAAGAGCTAAATTCATTAAAACATTGCAGGAAAGGGAGTAAATAAATACAACATCTGTTTCCTGGCCATTCAGATCACCATGCAGTAGAGTCAGAGGTCAGCTGGGTCTGCACACAAGCCAGGCCTACAGTCAGTAATATAAGAGCATAATTTAACTGTGGTTATTTTATAGCTGGAATTAGTAAGTATACAGAAAGTAATTCCTTTTCAACTAAACAGACCTCCCCCAATATTAAATACATTTTCTTATAATTATTTATACATATACAAATGGAACAAGTAAAAAATTTTCTTTAGACTGACTAGAACATCAACAAAAAAAATAATATATATTTTTTTCTTGATCCATTAGTGCTTTTGCAATGAATCCTGCTAAGAAAAGAGAACGTTGCCTTTTCTATCAGACACAAAGTTTACCGGACCATGACAACACCACACCCTAACCCCAAAATACAGCTGTACCAACCTACCAAAGACAAGGGAATTGCATGATCTAGAATTCAGTTTAATGTAAAGAAACCTTATAATCAGTGATAACATCCGACATGGAATCAACCAGATTCTTAGATCACAGCTGGCAGAAGAATATGGGACATAATGAGAAAGCACTGGGATGGTGAGATTCCCTATTCCTGTGCTACTTTTAAGGGAGTTGCTGTTCACACCAGGTTACTGGTTTGGTGCTACTTTCCAAGAGCAGCTGAAGTCCTCTCCTTCCCGCAGAACACAGCACTGCAAATGGCTAAACCAGAAAGCTGCTTTGGATGCCACCCAGAAACAGGGAAAATTTCAATTTCAGAAATTTCAGCATGAATTTTACCTTAACGCAAAGCACCGCTACTACCTGCTAATGCACCAAATACCTTCACATAAAGGTGAATCACTTAGCTGCAACGTAGGAGGAAACTACTTAGGATGGCTTTGGCTAACCCAAACCATTTGACATATTTCTCCCTTTAGGAAATGTGATAACAATAAAATACTTCTGTCAGTCAACAAGATATCTTCATTTGAAACTAAAGGAACCAGTCCCACGACCAAGATAAGCCTCATTCTGTGATAAATAGAAGCAAAACACAGTTTTGTTGCACTCAGTTTACAGCTCAGTTAAGCATCGTTATACAGTGATGAAGAACAAAACATATGTAACTAAAATAACTGTTCTAATTAAATAATAAAATGGTATTCAAATGAAACAGTCACCAAAGAATTTCATTAATTTTCTGGCATGATTTTAAATCTCTCCTTTCTTGCAGGTACAGTGAAAGGTTAATATGAAATCGCCGATGCATTTCAAACAAACAGAGAATTAACAGCACCTCCTGCACCAAGAAAGCACCCTAAGAAAGTGCAGTTTTGAGTAATTTTGGAGAGTCTCCTGGAAAGTTTCCATCTGAGTCTTGAAAAGAATGAGATAAGTACATAGCTCCTGGCTGTGCAGTACACCTTGTAAAGAGACATCAGTTCCTTTTAGGTCTTTAAGGGAGGGAGGAAGGGAAAAAAAAACCCACAACATAAAAGGAAAGGAGGGGGTGTCATAATATTTTACAACAGGATGCAAGAGAACCTGCAAACACAGGAAGAGAGCAAGTAAAGCCCAGCAGGCCTGATCTTTCTCCTTCAATCATGGTGATCACAAACCCTATCCATCACATGTTGCAATGTGAGCACAATACCAAGAACACGTTTTAAGGCTTACGTTTCCCTGCACTGCACAGTAATCACTGTGTAGGACCCTGACTGTTTTAAGATCGGGGCAGGAAATTCCACTTTCTTCCTTAAGGTTCATTGCCTTCATCATTTTCTTGTAACCTGCAGCAGCGTGTGCTATTGTGCCATACACCATGAAGAGTATTTTCTTAAAAGCTTTTAAATGCTTGTTTCAAAAGAATTACTAATCCTACAAGACTGTAGCACACAGAATTTAAATTTAGGCCAAAGTCCAATCACATTTGCCTCTGTATTAAGTGTAGTCAAATGTTTTCTTAAAACACTCCACTGAAAAGAACGCACTTTTCAAAAGTCTAGCTCAGTATTTATAAACCAGCTGAATCTCGTGTCTCATCCTGCAAGACAAATATTAAGTCAAGCTAGCTGAATTAGCTAGGCCCAACATCTGACCTACCTTGTACTTTCCTTTATTGTTTTATTGTCTATGTTTTATACCCAAATACACACCTCCACCTCTCCCCCCAAAAAAATCAACAAACACGTCTCAATTGAGTATTTAAGATGTAATTATGTGCATCTTAACTCTAGTCTAATTTACAGTAACTATCCAGACTCTGCAAAAACAGGGAGACGAGGAGGTAGAGTAGATGGGTGAAGACAGAGGGGTATTTCAGATTTTAACAAAAGAAAATTACTGGAAGGTTTACTATCATCATTATGTAGATGGGCAAACTGAGGGTCAGGAAGCTTAAGTAAATTCCTAGGACTACACAGTCTGTGCTTCTGGAAGAAAAGCGTAGCTAGATAGATTTATCTATTTAGGATTTTTATCATGCATTGGATAATCATCCTGTGTTTGAAAACCTAGATCTTCATCTGCATTTATTAAAAAGAAAAACAATACCACAGAGAAATCTATCAACCCCACCTAATGGCTTTATCTTTTACACTCCATTAGCAGATGGGATATATTATTATTATCAATTAACAGTGAACGACAAAGCGATTAATCTTAATGTTACACAGACATTCTGAATAAAGTATGATATTGCCTTATATTAGCTGCGTACTAATGTAAGTTCACGGCAAACATTTTAACCACAAACTGTTAATATAAACAGTCACTATGCCATTCATAAATTGTGATTTAATAAAAAGTAAAAATCTGTATTTTAAGAACAGTAAAAGATCTTCAAGTGGCGTACTAACTGACTACAATGCTTATTACTGTAAATTATTTATCAGGGTATTTGAAGAAAACCTACTAACTGGAAAAAACTTACCGAGTTTTCCTTTTCCACAGGGGTAAAGGTGACTGACTGCCATAATCAGTGGAAGCAGCAGATTATTTATTTATTGCAATTCATTACAGTATTAAAAACCAAAAAACCCACAGCTGTGGGTTTTAATGCCTTTCATGGCAGTGCGTAGCAGGCAGTAAGAAAACTGCTACCTCATTTGATTTGTGTGTGTGTGTCCCCCATAAAAGAGAAATAATTTATTTTCAAGGTCTTCTTACTCAGAAAGTCCCAATAATCCACATATGAGAAAAAGATAACAGGATATCAAGACTCTCAAAAGAAGTATAGCTATATACAGCAAATCGCTGCAAAAAATCCAAATAGCCACCTGCTCTTTAACTGCACCACTGTCAAAAAAAGCTGGACAAATTCAACACAGGTATTTGATTCATCATACTCAGATGCAAATGGAGGAGGAAAACCCCAGATGGATTTGGCAGAACTAGGAGACGCCATCCAGCTGCATTTTAGGATATTGTTAATATGACTCAACAGCTACCGCAAGAGGCTGCAGAGGTAGTACAGCTGTATGGAATGACATTACAGAGAGTAGTAAGGGCCAAATAAACTTTTTCTGTGTTCAGAATGTCAGTAATGGTAGCAAACATTACAAATTATTTTTTTCTTTTTTTCAAAGCACACTGTAGGGACTGGTCAAGCACCAGCTGGTTCATACAGGACAGAGTTTTAATTCAACAGCGTTCAGCGCAGCGCTGGCCTGTGCTGCGGATTCATGAGCACGTATTTGTAACAGAAAGCACTGGATGCACTCGATCTTTCCATTTAAAAGAACAGTTTAATCTCACACTTACCTTCCCTGTCAGAACAGAAGGAAATTCTGTATCAAACTTGTTGCTCAAGCCAAACCTTGAAAACAAAAGAGACAAACAAAATATATTCCACCTAACTTACTTTGTTTCCCTTAATAAAAAAACTAATAGATTTTGTATTTAAAAAAACCCCACTATTATTTTGCCTTACATTTACATTATTTCATGAGCTCTCAATGTAAGTTTATATAAAATCTTGTGTATCATCCATAAGGTCACAGAGGAATATAGCTCGTTGCCTTACTTCAATACCTTCAAGTTGCTAAAGTCACAAAAATTCTCTCATGACTGAATGGCAGTAAGCTTCAATCTTTGCTTTAAGAAAAAAAGCTCCAGCTATTAAATTCTAGTTTTACTAGGTGCAATAATCCTTTTACTGCTGTTTTTCTTACTCATGCAATTTATTCACATGCAACAGATAAAGCTAGTTATAAGGAACCTGTTCATCATCATCTTAGAAATTTATAACCATATAGTTTTAAAAAACTGCATTGAGCTGAGTTAAACTATCTCATGCAAAACATATGGGCCTACACAAAGAATGGTTTTAAAACAATTATGAACTTCAAGGAAATTCAGTCTTAGGTATCACTGTGACTGTTCTTCATTCATGTGTCCTTGTTACTGAGCAAGACGCAAGTCGTCATAACCAGTGAAACCTCCAGGGAGCTAGACTTTGCCTGTAAACCTATGTTACCACAAGCTCTGAAACTACCAAATGTGAAATTCCCAAAAAGCTGGTGCTGTGGGTCAGCAGGACACTGACAGTGCAGGCTGACTTGTCTTTATTTTATTTGAAGCATTTAAGCAGGCAAGAAGTTAACTAAGCTCTGATGCTAGCTCCTGCAGAACAAGAAAGCCGATCTTCCACCCCCTCTACCTCACTTGCAATCTTCAACCTTTGTAATTCAGTAAATTTAACAAAATACAACAGCAGCTGGCCTCTCAGCTACAACCTTTCTGTTTGTACAGAGCTTAATGTTAACTTTGTAAAGTTAAAGATACTGTACATCAAGTTCACTGCCAGCTCTGCTAAGCTATCTCCTGAGTATTTTTGTTCAAAAAAAAGAACCCAAAAGGATCACAGCCAAAAAGAAGAGCACATACAGATTTGGTATTGTGATATTTATTGTAGAAGCAAACCTGCTGGAGAAAGAGTATTTGCTTTGAGTCAAACTGACACCTTACTGGTCACTTGCACAAGACTGAAATATCAGCAGTCTCCTATCATTACACAATACACACATACTCACGTGCAGAGTGTACAAGTTCAGTACAAGTACCAAGTTTGGGTATGCAACTTGCATAGAGGTATACAGATATGTAAAATTAACCTTAAAGAAGAGAGAAACATAATAAAAGAACTTGTGCTGTCTTTAGAAATCCAGTAAACTGATAAAATGTCAACCACACTGGTGAAGTTCAATCAAGTTCTTCAATAGCTAACTGAAGTCAGAGCATTAACTCCTGTAAAGAGCCGCATGTAGGAGCATGGGCTGTATAAAACATTTTAAAAAAACTCGAAGAGTAGATCTTACTTGAAGTGTTTCTCAACCTTTGTCTCTTAAGCTATTTTAAGCACTATAACCAATTGCCACCTACTTGTGCTTGTTTCATTCAACATGTTGTCAATGAAAAGTTTCTAGAAGTGAATGTGAGGGAACTGAACATCAGCACAGCATGGGCATATTCAAGTGAGCCGGAAAGCCATGATGTTAAATTAGTGCTACAAAAACAAACAGTAAGAACAGTAAGGTAGTAGGCAAGCATAAAGGTTACCAGTATAAGCACATTTTCATTCTTTATGAATGTAATCTGGCAAGTCAGCCTCCACATTTTATAGCTTTTCTTTTTAAGCTGAAATCTTTCATGTTCTGCTATACTATATATTTTTAAGGAAGCTTGAAGAACAATGAGGTAATATTTTCAGTCTTTACAAAAAATATCTAGAAAAGACTAACGATATGAAGCACATACACAAACTTGTTTTGAGGAAAATGGACTTTTCTGTATATTGGCAATGAAACTGCCTGAAATGACCACAAAGTCGTAGCAATCAGACAACAAAATAAACACACTACTGGAAAGTTTAGGTAATACTGCAGAATTATTTACCCATATCACAGACTAATTCCACTAAATCATGCCAAAGGTCCACCTAGCCCACTGACTCTCTCAGTGGCCAGCAGCAAATGCTTAGGAAACAGCAAAGGAAAAAAAAAATGCAACCGTGTACCACAATTTCCCCAAAATACTCTCCTGATCTCCAACAATTCACAGCTCAAAAACTTCCTAAGCTATAGGCAGTGTCTTTTATCTCACTGGTCACATATACTTAATAAAATTCCCATTGCAGCACCAATTTCTAGAAAGCATAACATAAATTAGTGCTTTCTGATTTAGATCTATTAAGAATGCAAAACCACAGTGTATTTTATTACAATAAATTTGAAGGCTGATAACATCACAAAACTCAGTTACCAGAACACTGCACACCCAAGAAAGCTCAGTTACAGGAATGCATCTCTTTCATACTGGCATCTGCTAATGGCTAAAAGAGTAAGAAAGGTTTTGACTCTACTGAAAACAGGACTATGCTACATTGTAATACTACACGTAGACAGCATCACTGATGGTCTTTAGCACAGTCACCCTGATACTTCAGCTGCAATTTTCTTGCTAAATGACAAATATTTCTAAAAACAAGGCACTGCTCCCTATAGGCAACACCACTGGAATAGAGCTAGGATGACCTCACTTTCCAGCTCTTCTCTCTTTCCATTGCACGAGACAAGTCCCATCATTTCATTTTCCCCCTCTTGTAATGTGGGGAGAAAGTAACTTCTCAGAGGGAGCTGTAATAAGGTATATTCATAAATCTCTCAAATTAAAGACCAAACCAAACAGGCCAACTCATCATTTACAAACTCCACCTGCAACAGGTATCACAAAATTATTTCTGTTAGTTTACAAAGCACAAGGAAGAAAGGTTTCTTATCCCCTGAACTGGAATAGGAAGATTTTGGAAAACACTTTCTCATATACAGAAGCAGACATATTTACAGGTGCTTTACCTTTTTTTCTTTTGACTTAAATAGTGCTTCATTCTCATTTATTTCACTACCATAGTTACATTCACTAAATGGGTTTATAACTCATTAAAATGAAATTTCAGAAGCAAAGGCATTTACTAAGTTCTAGTAATTTCTCTGTGCTAAAATCCAAAAGCTTTCTGAAAAGAATAATTATGACTGATAGTCAATTTTTTCAAACTAAGAATCTTCTAGAGTGAAGGAGCATTGAACAGGATGACTTGATAACCACTTTCAGATACATTCTCTCTCTGCAAGTAAAATAAAACAAATATACTTTAAATGATCACTCTTACCATGCACAGGGGTAAAAAAGGGTCAGCAGGAGTCAGTGGAAAATGCAAAATCCTGCTAAAAATCCTCAGAAGATTCCTGGAATTTACATTTGGTACTGCTGGATACTGCAGTAGAACGCTGTTAGGGTCAGCAGCTCCCTGACAAGGTTACAAGAATAAAAACTCTCATGCAGTAAACTAATACATAGCTTGAATCTACTAACTCGGGAGGTTTACAAGAGGACAGTGCATGAAAAGCTGGACCAGAAGATGACCCTGGATTTAGAGAATTATCCTTTCTCTATACACCAAAAGCTTCCAAGAAGGCCAGTGTCAGATGAAGAGTACAAGGCATCTGGAACAAAAATCCAAGGAAGACCGTGGCTTTTGAGAAATAATGGTGGGTTGGTGGGTTTTTGTTTTGTTTTGGGTTTTTGGGGTTTTTTTGTGCTTGTTTGGTTTTTTTTTGTTCTTGGGTTTTTTTGTGGGTTTTTTTGTTTGGTTTGGGTTTTTTGTTTGTGGTTGGTTTTGGTGGTTTTTTTGGTTTGTTTTGGTTTTTTTTCTTAATAGAGTGGCTTGTCAGGACAGAAATTTTTACCAGCAATGTTCCAGAGAGGTTCAGAAAACAAACAAGTTTTACTCAATGACGTATGTGACTTCATTAACTAGAGCAGGCTGCTTCTGATGCCAACTGATTTCAAAAGCAGCAGCATCTGTGTGATCAAAAAGTGACAGAATTTCAGAGCTGATACATACTAACCAGAAACTCTTTAGAAAGGAAAATATTTCCTGTTTAATAAGGAGGTTAGGATCATATACTACAGCGTCCAGGGTTTATCTGCATTTTACTGATAACATCCACTAACTGTTTTTATTAGTATAAGGAGATTTAAAAAACATGCCATGAATTAATAAAAGCTGCCTTCTACCATACCTGTTACAGGAAGAAAGCTGGGAAGAGTGGAAGAAAAGGAAAATAAGGTGGATGGGAATTCAGTTCAGGTAGCTACAAGGGGACATATGCTAGCTCAGGATTACGGTGTCACTCACAAGAATTGCTTTCTTTTGCTGCAGATGTCACTACTGATAGAGTTCTTGGAGAAGCTCCTGCCCATCCCTAAAAGATGCTGGAGCCAAGAGGGAACTTTAAGGAACATCACTAAGACACAAAAAGCATCACAGCAGACAAAGCAAATAAGTGTGCAACATTTTTTCCAGTTTAGTGCTTAAAACCAGATAACTAATAGGATGGGTATGCTGTATTCTGATCATTTTGCTTGTGTTACATCCCTGCTTTAGCCAGGCTGCATGCTATTTGGGATCAGGACAGAAATTCCATCAGCACAAGCAAATACACTGCGGTGCAGCAGAGCAGCTACCCGCTGGCACTAGCTCAATGCAAATCTGATTAAGACTTACATGGACGGACACAGTATCAAATCCAACATTAGTTCTCTTAGGATGAGAGAGCTTTCCCCACCCAGTGTTTTTGCTGCAGATAGCTAGATCACACTGCACCTATTTACAGAGAGAAACGTGCATTCTTTTACGCAACCCAAAGACAGGCCCAAAGCAACACGAGCTCGACGGATCTCTGCAATACAAAAATTTCAATACCTCCATCCCTGGCATGAAAATGAACCAACAACTTGTTATGGATGTACTTTGTT